AGTTAGGGGTAGGAGACGTTAATTTCCCACGCACGAGATTACTGTGTGATGGATGTCCTCCCCTGGGGTGGGATGGGTGGGTTTGTTGGAGCTTAAACCTCGTAAGGGACCCATGTCCTATTGTTTCTGCTCCTGTACTTGGTACAAATCCTCAAAAAATAAAAAAATAAAAAAATAAAAAGGTGCAGGAGACGGGACCTCTGGCTTTTCGTCCTATCCGAGAAGACGAAGCAATGTGAGTGAAGCGTCTTGCTTAAGGACACAACGTCAAGCCCCAGCCAGGACTTGAACCCGGACCATCTGACCCAGAGTCCAGTGCACTGACCACTGGACTACTCGCGCCTCACACACATAGATGATATTACTATTAACAATATTTCACTTTTTTTGTTAGAAAAGACAGGCCATGGATCTGTACAGTAATGAATCACAAAAGACATCAAAGTGTGGTAAGACTATAACTGACACACATGGCTGGGTTTCCTGTGCCACTTTTTTGTTCTTACCTCATTTTGATGTCATCTGCAATCTATTACTGAACAGATACATGGCAACCCGGAATGTATTGGTTAATTTAAGATCGAAGCTTAATTCTAATACTTCTGATTAATTATTAGTGGTGATGTGATTTTGAATAAGATTAATAATCTTTTGAGGTGCAATTGATGCTTTTAGGGGGTGTTGCAGACATGGCAGCCTGGTCAGTTCTTCTTTGGCACAAAACTATTGACATGTTAGAACATGGGACAGATGTATGTACTATTCCACATAGTCCTCTCTTTATTTCCTGCAACAAGAGTGATCCTGCCACAGTTTTATCAAGGAGACAGTTTGACAAAAATCTGAAGAATCCTGGAACAGTTACACCAGCAGAAATACTCAAACTTGTTGATTTTTCTGATATAAATTTTAAGCAGACCAAGAGAGGCACTTACTTTTCATTGTCAGAATCTCTTCATAAAAAGATGTTAAAAAACAAAAATGTATCGAGGGGTTGCCATGGCTCTCAAAACTGCCATTTAAGAGAGACGTCACGTGAGAACAGGGTAGATCAAGAGACATTATCGAAACCTGCAGAATATTCATCATCTGTTCCTTATGCAAGATTAGGATGGTGAGTTCATTGATGGTTAACCTTTGAAACCAAACGTAGGGATTCAATTGTAGCATCTCATCACAAGCTGAAAAACTTTATCTGGCAAATACCTTAAACAAGAAGAAACAAATTGATCAGGCAGAGAGTGATATCTTGGAAGAACTCCAAAATTTCCTAACTTCAGTTAGTTACAAAGAAATGTATGTGAATTAGAAAGGAGAAATGGGAATGTGGTTTTGGAAATTAATGGCTGAATTAAGGGTTATGTAAGATCATTTTTATAATTAACTTGCACCAGCTAAGTAGCTTGTACTACTGTCAAAGCTTATCTCAATTTCAGTAGCATGAATTACTGCCACTCCTCTTGGGTGGGTTGGTGATACACCACAGACCTCCCCGACCACCCCAAGAATTTTGTTAGGCTTCCCCCTGACATGTACAGTTTACCATTACCCATTTCAGTCTATGCCTTTTTGAAGAGAGGTATTGTAACTGTAATTGTGTTCCCTTAGAACAGAATGCAAAATAGCCTGGTTAGTGTTAATAGATGGACTTCTTTATAGCTATTACATGGGTTTGGTTACATTTTAAAGTGTTAGAAGACTATTGCACCCATGTGAAGGTGAGCAGCTCCCCACACTTTTGTATCGTAGTGCACATACCTAGGTCCCACCTTCTTACAATTCTTACAAGATTAACTGTGTTCCATCACTTATCTCTCTTACTTATTGTTTGTCTTATAATAGATTTTAATGCCCTTCCATGATAGACTCTGTGATAAACTGGTAAACATTTTCCTAATTAGAAAAAATCTGTACCAATTTTAACAGGTCTCTTGCTTATGGCAATTTTAATGGTCAGAATATTTCCTTAGTGATTGGTGCACCTGGGTATGGTACCCCAGGCAACAGCCAACATGGTCGGGTATATCTTGTTACTAGTGATGCCGACAGTGGCTTGCCTGATAAAGACTTAGACTTGGATGCATCTGCTGATATGATTCTGGATGGTACTGTGGAGAATGGACGGTTTGGTACTGCTTTGGCTGCAGTGGATTTTAACAAAGATGGAGTGGATGACCTTGTTGTAAGTGCTCCAGCAACAGGTATGAGTTATTTCTACTTTTTGCTACGGGCACTTTTTGTTGTCTAGTGTTCTAAGTCCAAGTGTTCAAAGCCATCATTTGGCAACGAAAAATTGAAAAATGGTGGACAGTAAAAAAAGTTAGACTATGGTAAAAGAACAGGAGCAAATAAAGTATTTGGTAAAGGTAAAGCCCACTTACGAGCCAAGTGGCTCATCAGGCCAGCACAAAAAATCTGATTTCTGTAGCGTGAAGTGACTGGGAGTATTTTGACCCCCCCCCCCCCCTGGATGGAGTGCTAGTCCATTGCAGGGTTACCCCCAGCATCAAATTCACTGGTAGCCAATTTTATTCTGACTTCTGGGTTAAGAGAGGCACTGTGAGAGTAAAGTATCTTGCCCAAGAACACAACACAATGTCCCCAGCCAAGGCTTGAACCCAGACCACTCAATCCGTAGTTGAGGCCACTGTGGCTCCTAACTAAAATATTTATAATTACAATAATTTTGCAACAATCTGATAGACAAGTTCATGTGATAAAGCAATGCCATTTACCTAAAGTATGAACCCTTTGAGCCCTAATAGTGATTAATATTTGAGTTCTCCTCACATTATATCACCCTTGAGTCACACATTAAGGTTACAGGAATAAAGGGAATGATCAACAACTGAAGAAGCTATTGATTGTTAAACAAATTCTCCTTGTTAGCACCTTAGGAAATATAGAGAGAATAGTATGGAGAATATGCACATTGATGTTAGAGTGTAAAGGGTTGAGTGAAGTATAAATAATAATTTTTTTTTCATGATAATTATATGTATAGGTGCAAATGATCTTCAGTACACAGGCACAGTGTACATTTTTTTCGGAACTAAAGGAGAAGGACTCATTCACCACCCAAGTGTCACAATTCATGGGAATGGAACATATTACAATCTTGGTACATCTCTCTTGGGGGCTGATATTGATGGGGATGGATTTAAGGACCTCATAATTGGGTCTCCTTATGCTCCTGAAGGAGGACCTCAGAGGGGATCTATTGCTGTGTTTTTAGCCAAGACACATATGAAGCCTGGTTTGGATTTGTCCGTGCATAGTGCAGACCTGATGGCTGTTGGTGAACAAAATTATAGTTGGTTTGGTTATTCAATGACTGTGACAAGGGAAAGTGGAAAGATAGTGTTACTTGTTGGTGCACCTACATTCAGGTAAAATTTGATTATTCACTAAGCTGGCTATTATATAAATAAGTCATGGTTAATTCTTCTAATAAATTAAATTGGTAATAACCTCATCCAAATAAAAAAAAAAAATGATAGGAAGTTGGCAGACAGGTATGAGTTGTGTGCCAATCTGAGTTTAACTTGTGGTATCATAGTCAAGATTACTCAGAAAATTTCTAGTACCCCTTTCATATTTCTTGACTAAGTACTGAAAGCAGAGTCTACTTCAGGGCCAAGATGTCATTTTTATTACCAAATCTTTGCACTGATTGAGCTTTCAGGTTTAAGTTGTGATTTTGTAACAAAAGGTTTTTCAGTACTACATGCTGGGAGGCAGCGTGGCCGAGTGGTCAGCATGTCGGACTCGCAATCCATCATTCCTGGGTTCAAGTCCCGCTCTGACCACTACTTGGATTTGTTTAACGGTAGCTCCAAGTCCAAATCCTCGGCCATGCTTGTAAATAGCCAACTGGTTTGCCTCTGGCCAGTTGGGATTCTTAACAATATTATGTTCAATTTGAATTATTTGTTTACAGTCCACAATGTAAACTACTGGGTTACCTGTAAATGTGTTAGCTACTAAAGTTAATTTTTTTTTTTTTTTTTTTTTTCTTCAGGTAATGGGGTCATCTTGTACAGTTGAACCTCGATTATCCAGACCTCGATTGTCTGGACCATTCGATTAACGGGACTTTTTTCTCAGGTCCCAATTTTTTTCATGCAGAATATTAATTAGTTGTGATCTTGAAAACTCAGAGTTGCAAAAAGCCCAAATAATCCTTTCAAAAGGCTGTTGAAACAGCGTATTACCCTGTGCACTTTTCAAAATTTGCAAGTGCGACAAGACAAAGAAATATTCTGATGCGTTATTTGTAAATACATACAGGCTGTGTAGATATCACAATTAAAATGATGTTTTCTTTGCTGTATATCTTTTGTTTACATTTCTATCTCGTTAATATTCATATTTTTGATTATCCGGACTATTTACCAAGGTCCCGACGGGTCTGGATAATCGGGGTTCGACTGTAATAGGTCACAAGTTGAAAATCAGCCAATCATAGCTAACCATGATGCCTAATGGCGATGTGCAACTAGTCAATTTTATTGCCTAAAGATCGGAGTCATGGCATGTAGTTGATATGTGCTTGAGCTCATTTATAATAGTTAGGATGTAAATATTCAGTTAGGGAGAATGCACATCAACCTCCAAAGGCACCTATTGCAGCCCCTATCTGCCTGTACACTGTATATAAAAGGTATTGGGTGAGACTAAGCTTACTTTCCAAAATTATGTGGTGATTGTTTTTGTTAACTACCAGTGAGAGTACTTTTTTTTTGTTTTCTACAGATTATGTGCCAAAAAGGACTGCAGCTACTCCAAGGATGATGTGCAAAGTGTTGGCAGGGTGTATTTGTTCCTTCCTAACTTATCACTCCAACATATGGCAACCATAACAGGACATCAGACATTTATGAAGCTAGGAACCAGCCTTTCTGTGGGGAAACCTTACAATAACAGTGAAGACATTCTTGCAGTATCTGCTGCAACTCTGTGTAGGTTTTTTTAAAATCTTTTCAAACCTCTACCTGTTTGTTCCTGATAAAATACCACTCACATGTCTTTAAATTAAATGTGAGTTATTAAGTATAGCTGATTTATGTAAAAAAAATGAATTAAATTGATTATTGAAAGACTTCTCCATTATTAAGCAGTTGCTTGTTACATGAAAATTTTGCTAATGAGCAACTGGGACTATACAGTAAGGGGACTCTGGTTTTTCCTAGACTGACCCGAGCATTATCATTTGTTTTGTTGTAAGCATTATTTTGTTCAATGAGGTGACTGTGTTCTCTTACATGTTTGTAATTCACCTGTTTCCATCAATTAAACTGCTAAGTAAGCTTCTTTTTGGATTGCGTCCTGTTTTTTTGCTTGCAGGCTTTTTCACTTGCATTGAATACGAAACCTTAAATTCATCATTTGCAGACATCATTGTCAAGGTTATTCTGGTGATTTTTAACTCAGAAATACATTCATAAATATCAAGTTGTTAACAAAGTTTTCAGTGATAATGTTTAAGGTCCTGATAGGCAAAGGAGGTGATATTCACATTTATCAATTATGTAAACCTTGTAGGAGCTTCTCCCAATCATAAAACAGGGTTTGTACAGGTCATGGAAAACCTGGAAAGTGATGGAATTTCAAAATTTCATTTTCCAAGCCTGGAAAGTCATGAAATTTAGATGTGGGTCATGGAAAGTCATGGAAAATCAATATGCTCTCTATGCCTGAAAGGCAATAAGACCCAAAGTTGAAAAGTTAACTGACGAGTCCAAAAATCAGATTTAATTTCATTAGAAATAAACAGAAGCAAGCATTGTGAGAATGTTTGCAAACAAGTCATGGAATCTTTCAAAAGGTCATGGAAAAAGTCATGGAAAGTCATGGAATTTTAACAGGTCAAAAGTGTACAAACCTTGTAAAATTTAACATATATTGATTTATGTTTATCAGTCGTAATATTTGTTATAATTAATTAATCATGAAATCTTTTGTTTTTAGCATTTGAGGGCCATTTGGTTGACGTGGAAGACATACCAATTTCCTTTAACCAATCAGGTGCCATCTACTTAGTGAACTCAACAAAAGTTCTGCAAAGTGGAACTGATATATCTCTTAATGATTTGAGATATACTGCCATTTTTGAAGGGGATCGCAGCTATGCTAGGTTTGGTTGGAGTTTGGATTTCACTGATGTGAACCGCGATGACGTTACAGACTTAGTTTTCTCTGCACCATTCAGAACGGAAGATATTACTGAGGAGTTGAAAGGAGGTTTGTGATTAAAACTTATTCTTCTTGGTGAAAACATGAGGGTACTTCACTGTAACTGATTTTTCTGGCCTAAATGGTGAACTCTTTCACTTCTGAAATCTTGTACTAGGAATTCTCCTTGCTATCTGCCGTATAATTCTTAGCAGGGCTCCCTCATGCTTGAAGCACTCATGGGGCACAGCCCCATACCCATGGAATATGGTCAACCTCTTTTTGTTTGGTTGTCATGTGACTGACTGAGCGTACGTACGTATGTACATACGTACATACGTACTGCCTTCAGATTGCATGGGTAGGGTAGGGTAGACTATCAAAATGAAGGGAGGGGTGTCTCAGGCGAGTCTTGGCAAATGCACATCTTTTATGTTATCATTAATATTACAAACTTGGGAGCTTCACTTTTAGGCTTCGCTAAATCTATATATTATGATGTTAGCTAAGAGAATTTGGTGTAGGATCAACTAATAATCCACCTATTAATATCACTTTTCCACTTGATATTGTATTGATATTGTAAGGAGAAATTCTGTATTGGTCACTCATTGGAGTTACTGGCTTAAGCAATAAAACTAACCCTACTTTCAACCCTCATCTAGATCTAACTGGATACAAAGATAATCTCCATATCAAATCTTCCTTTTTTGTTTTCAAATAATTCTCTACCCATATACTCTGACATGTTGGGCATAATGTTCATATACAAACAACCAGAACAACAGCAAGTGAAGGTAAAAGCTACTATTTACCTATTTCATTTTTCAGCTGAAGAAGGACAGCTGTATGTGTTCTATGGGGGAAAGTCTTTTCCATCTGGAAGAGCCACAAGAGAATGTCAAGAAGTTGAACCTTGTCCTGGAGAAAAGGTATTGTACCAGTAATGGTGGGATCTGAATGGCCAGTTTGGGGTTTTTGATATGAGTACAGACAATGCTGCTTGCATCAATGTGTCACACACTGAAAGAATTATTTTATATGATCTTGATATTGTGGTAAAAACCAAATTGTCATTGGTTTAGTTGCACCTCATGAGTCTAGAACATTTTAACTTTAACTTTAAACTTTATCAAGGGTGCATAATTACAGTAAAGAAACTGTACTCTCCCTTATGGCCCTCACCCACCCATCCCATCCCAGGGGAGGATATTCACCATACAGTAATCTCGTGTGTGGGAAATTAAGGTCTCCTACCCTAACCTTGCAGGAGACAGGACCTACAGTTTATTCGTCCTTATCCGAGAAGACTAGAATATCTATCCATTTCTTGATATTATAGAAAGGTAGCACATTCTTCTCAGTTATTTTAAGACCCTGAGTGTTGGTCCGGCTGGGGCTTGAACCCTCGACCTCCTGCACAACAGTCTGGCGCTCTACCAACTGAGCTAACTAGGAAGCGGTTTTTAACCACCTTTTGACCACTGTGATGACCGATATTGTTGTCAGTAAGATAACAAACCATTGCTTAACCACCACCCATTTGGTAAATATCAACTACCTGCTAGTACCAGGTTTCTATTTTAGTTTTGAATTCAACCACTGTTTGACCTTTCCACCCCTAAGAGTGACTAGCATCTAATTTCTCCCTACAATATCACCCCTAAATCAAGCATCAAGGTCATGAGAATAAACAGAATGATCACCAACAAAAGAAGCTCTTGATTGTTAAACAAATTCTCCTTGTCGGCACCTTAAGAAATGTATAGAGAACAGTATGGAGAATATACATACTGATGTTAGGGTTTAAAGGGTTAACCGTCTCAAATAAATTAGAATCAAGTTTAGTATTTGCAAAATTTTCTACTTCCTAGATAGACTCGATTGGCAGTGTATGAATTTTATTGTACCTGGTTGTTGTAAAAACAATCAGCAATCTAACAAGATGTTAATCATTTTCTTTAGCAGGCATCTTATGTGTTGAAGAGGACTGAGGTACTGTACTGCTGTTAAAGGTGATTTTGTATGTGTGCGTAACCTTGAATGTTCAACCTCTGCACACCAGTCACTTTTCACTGTCCTCAAGGTGACGGTTTTAGAGAGGTTGAACTGTATTTGTAACAACTGGTTGGTAGAAGTAGAATTTTATAGTTCTGTAAATGTTGTACCCATCCCAATAACATTATGTTTTTTTTCTAACAATAAGATTATCTTCCCACAGGAGAGGTCTCGCTTGGGAACAACATTCCTGAGTATCCCAAAAGCTAGGTCACCTGGTTCAACCTTGGTTGTCTCATCACCTCGCAGCTCATATAAAGCTTTTCACTCAGGTTCAGTCCATGTTGTTCAACATGCCTCTCAAATGGTAGTTGTCTAACAAAGGTGAATGTAAATTAACTTTCGGTACTGATGAAAATCACTTAATTTTTTTTAGATAATTTGGCTTTAATAATTTAGCTGATGATGCAAATAGGCCACCCTAAAGAGTTTTAAAACTGACCTTTCAAGCAATATCGCTTTGTAAGAGCAAATTGGCTCTGGTAGCAGTTTTTTACTTTCCTTCACGCCAAGCCAAAGATGCTTAAATGTGGTGTGAGTGATGGTTGGGCATGAGGTGTAAGGAAGAACCCCCCCCCCCACCTCACCCATACCCTGCTGGAGATTTCTTTCCTTTCTTTTACCCTCAGTCCTCACCATGACTCACTATTAGTGGAAAGAAAAGAGAAACAACTACTGTACTCTTTAGACAAGTTATTTTTTTATCAACTTTATTTCCCTGAAATTATTGAAATTATGGGAAGCAAATACAGAAATCGATTGTATCAAATAGCTTTAAAAGGAAAAAAGCACAAGTAAGTAGAAAAGAGAAGAAGAATGAGAAGAAGAATGGTTTATTCAATACCTTAATAGCAGCATGGACTGAATTGCTAAGGTTTACAATGTATAGAAGGAGAAATTTTATAAAATTGATATAATTACGAAATTACTTGCATGCATACAGTAAGGATCCTACGACTACGACTACGAATATAAAATTTTAGAATTAGCGCAGTTGAATTGCTAAAGAGAACTGCACATTTGTTAATAAAACTATCACGACACCTATTGGTCTTACATGGCTTTACACGGTATGGTCTAGCATTCCTGAGGTCCTTAGTTGGTCTCTCATTGAAAGGAATAAGAGGGTGCAGAACATCAAGGGGGCTATCTACAATTTTTTTTAAAAAGTTTTTTACATAGTTTCGTCCTTCTATGCTGTAACGTAACGAGGCCTGAACGTGCCAAGACATCTGCGTAATGCACTTCGTAACCGAAAATTATCCTAAGAGCACGTATCTGTATCCGTTGAAAACTCAAGGTTAGATATTGTGGAAGACTAACATGAAAAACCTGGCAGCCATTGGATGCAAACAACATATAACTGAACTAGTTCTTCAGGTGAAACTTTGGCACGCTTTAGTTGCGCTAAAAAATACAGGCGTTTGGCACCTTTTTTTTGTCGTTTCTCTTACATGAGAATTCCACTTAAGGTCTTCTTGAATATAAACGCCCAATAGCTTAACTTCTTGTACTGTATGAATTTTACAACCAGCGATTTCTACAAGTTTATATTTGTCGGAGAGCGTGCAAAGGTTATCCTCAGCTCATTACATTTACCGGGATGAGGTTGAAACTTGTCAGCAGACCATGTAGATACCTCATCGAGGATGGACTGTGCATGACTAGACTCTTTTTTTTTCTCCACTATCTCGTAGACTAGTATCGTCCACGTACTTTTATAACATAACCAAAGTAAAGCGCGCGCTCTGATTGGTCAATTTAGCGTCCCCCATTTGCCCATGGGTGTACGCTGCTGACGTGAGCAAATGCAAAGACTTTTTCCGCGCGCGCTTGTTTTTTTCTGGTCGCGTAAGATTTGTTAGATAAAAGGGAACTCTTTAGCAACAATGTATCAATGTTATGTTATAAAACAAATGGTAAACACCACAGCGTACACTATTGAGTTATGGATGCACTTGGGAGGTTTGCTAAGCACTCAAGAAGCTAGAGTCGCTCTCGGCTATCGCCTCGAGCGACTCTTACGCTTCTTTCGTGCTTAGCAACCTCCCGCGTGCATCCATAACTCAATAGTGTACGCTGTGGTGTTTACCATTTGTTAAAAAAAGACCGTTCGAGGTATCTGCACTAAGATCGTTTAGCATAACGTGGAAGAACTAGGGGCCCAGTTTGGTACCCCGTGGAACCCCTGCACGAACTGAACGCCATTCGGAAGTAATCCCAAGTGGGTTGTAATCTAGTTCTGTTTTCAAATCTTGCTGTCAAGATGTTGTTTCTGTGCCTTTTTAAGTATAAAGTTGTGTCATTCCGGATGTTAGCTTCAGTCATGTTTTGACCACTTAGTCTATCTGCTATATTTTTCTGATTGAAATCAGCAAAGTTGTGGTAAAAATGTATTCAATTTTAACCATGTAAATTGGTTGAATGAAGACATTTTTGAGCTCATAGAAAACAAGACGGGGAAGTTATCACAATAACTCCAGCTAATCCAAGTCGGATGTAGCTTTAAGATTTTTTGTTACTAGGTAAATTATTAGTAATGTTTATGATAATAAATACTCATGTTTAAATGAATTTTTACATTAAAACTCAAATGAATAATTATTAGAGGCACTTATTAAATATGAGCAATTTTTAGATCTACTGAGGGTATCTTTGTTCCCTTGTAGCTTAACATCATCACAACGAGGGTGCACGAGTAGAGAAGAATTTGTACTTTGCAACAGATATTTAGTTTTAGTTTTATTAGCTTTGCCGACACGCAGGGACACCGCAACAGCTTGTGCCAATTACTGCGGGCCCAGTAAACCCACCCATTCCAGCCCAGGGGAGGACATCCATCTCGTGAGTGGGAAATTAACGTCTCCATTTCTTTGTTGTTATAGAAAGGCAGCATATTCTTCTCAATTATTTTAAGACTTGAGTGTTGGTCCGGGCGGGGCTCGAACCCTCGACCTCCCGCACAACAGTCCAGCGGTCTATCCATTGAACTAACCGGGAGGCGAGTCTAAACGTCTAACCGGTACTCGTCTAACCGGGAGGTGGTTAGCTCACACACCAAGAAATAATAGCAAGAATTACATTAAAGAGTGACTTACCTTGTACTGTCGAGTAATTTGTTTTTGTTACATTTTTTGGCTTTTTCTACAACAGCACCTCTCATCTCATCTCGTCTCGTCTCATCTTTAGTTGTTTGAACACAGGTAACCCAGGCTCACTGTTTGTGTTACATGCACATGGTTAAATAGAGAGAACATATGGGGCGAAGTTTAAGTCTGGAAATTTGCTCGAAAATGGAAATAAAAATCAATGAAACTTGCCATGTGGCGATTTTTTGTTGTCCTTAATATGTACACGAAGTTTCGGGAAAAGTAAAAGCTGAAAGTTTTTAAAGAAACTGTGGTGCTGTGTCAGTGAGGGTAACGAGGCAATCAGGTTGTATCAGCTAAGTTGAAATTGTAAATTGGCCACCGTAACGAACCTTAGGAAAGATGAAGAAGTATACAATTGTTTTTTATCCGTGCGATTGATATCATAACTGACAATAGAAACCCGCGTATAAGAACCTGAGTTTTAAGAATCTTTAAGGCTAAAACTTTTTATTTTAAGCTCCCTTCGCATAAGAACCTATTTATACTCTAGAGTATAAATACCGCGTGATATTTGTACTCGTCTTTGGCGTTATTTGTACTCTACGAAGTGTAGCTGGATAATAAATCGAAAATATCATCTCATAATACAATATAAATCATTTATACCATAACGCTAAGGGCAGTACAGTGCAGGTCTGTCCTTAACAAAACTAATAAACAAAACTAATAGTCCGTTCTCTAAAATGCCATTTCAAAGTTTACGCGTAACCAAGAAAATCTCGGGACAAATACAGTGCATTCTTAACAAGTTCCAAGCAATCAACCCACAGTATTCACCGTTGCCTTTTTTTTAAGTTCCCTGTGACGTCAATGAGCCGTGACTGAGACAACTCAGTTGTATTTTCGCTTGAAAGAAAAATGTCATGCTGATGATCAGTTTCTACCTTTATTGTCCAACTACACTTTGTAGAGTACAAATAACGCCATAGACAAGTACAAATATCACGCGGTATTTGTACTCTAGAGTACTGGTTAAACAGGTTTTCTCGCATCGCGCAAGCGAAGAGTTGAATTGTAGTTGCGAGCAAAAAAAATGGCGGACAATTTGAATCATATTTCCGACGACGAAGAGTCAGAATGGCTGGCAAATATACATCCAAGTCTATTAGATGAATCGAACGAGGAAAAACAGCTAGACGACCTGGAAATTTCTTCATTTAGTGAAGAAAATAGAGACAGCAACACGACAACGTGCCAATTCCGTTCCGCTTCGCATACTTCTGTCCCGCACTCCCCGTAAATAAATATCCGCGAAATTCGCCCGCACTGAAATAACATTTTGACGTGTTGGATAATAAATAACTTATAGGACGTTTTTTTGTGTAGTATCGCTGAGTATTTTTACTCGTTATTTGTATTTTGACTCGCCCTACGGGCTCGTCAAAATACGGCACAACTCGTAAAAATACTCAGCGATACTACACAACAAAACGTCTAATAAGAAATATATATTTAAATGAAAATCACATGGAAATATAAGAACCTATTTTAAGAACCTTGGTAGCCTAAATTTTCTTTAAGTACCATTTATATAAGAACCTGTTAAAGCTAAATTAAAAAATCCAGGATCTTATACGCGGGTTTTCACTGCATTATAGTTTTCGTCGATATCCACACCTTGATATATAAACAGTTAAACAAAAGCTCGGAATAAAGTTTCCCGCAAATCAGCGGTCGTTCACTTTGAAATTATCTCCGATGTCTTTAATTATTAATAATAATAATAATAAAAGTCTTTATTCCATCATAAGATAAAACTACATATCTTATGTTACAATGAATTTTGGAAAAACTACAGAAATCTACATACATATTATGAATTAAAAAGTATGTCATTACAATAAATAGAGC